GAAAAGAATCCAAACAATCTGCATTTTGAGGCAAATTGCAAAGTACTTAGTGAGTTCCCACTGCAAAGAAAAAGGTACTAAGTCCTTAATGCCAATGAAATAAATACCCATATTGCTGAAGTATCTGGCACTATGAGATAATCCAGTCCATCTCTTAAAAAAAGAAAGAAAAAAGAAAAAGAAAATCCACATTTAAGTTGTACAAACACACACATAAACACTGAAAGATGGAGATAATTTAAAACCTACTGGTTAATTCTTTCTATTCTTAATTTTAAAGTGATTTATCAGTGTGCTAATTTAATAATAATCATATATATATATGCTTCTAACTTGCTCCTTTTTTATCTAGGACTATCAGGAATAGGAAAATCTACTCCTTTGGATAGAAGAGAACCACTTAGTGAAATACCAGTTTTATGTATTAAAATGCTGCTTGGGTAGTCACATAAGTAGATGTATAGTTAGTGTATAAGTCGTTTCCTCTTCTATGAAGTGTCAGTTTCAGCACATATGTGAGTACATATTTAGTGCAAATATCTAAGTTGGAAGGCTAAATTTAAATTATGGCCAATGGTTTTATTAGAGCTCTTGCCAACCAAGATAAAGGTGATGGAATAAACAAGTGGAGGGAACCAGTTTATTGCATACTCATCAACCTGTATAAATTCAACTACTCAATGTAGGCCTGTGTCATGCATTCTACCAGGCACTAGGGACACAACAAGGAATAAGGGTCCTTGACCCATAGTTCAGTCATACCAAATCAGAGAGTGGGTAATCACAGAAATGCAGTAGTTTCTCTAACAGGTAAGAGAAAAGTACTCTAAGGGCATAGAAAAGGGGATCGAACCTAAGAAAGCTTGAACTGGTAGAGAGGAGAGGGGAGGAGAGAGGCATCCCGAAGGACTTTGACCTATCAGGAAGCTTCTTAGCTCACTTCTGATGGATGAGTTAGCTGGGCCAAGAGGAGTGGCTGGATGTGATGGGGGAGGCCTTAGAAGCCTTGGCAGGGGGCTGCGTGAACACCAGAAGGCAGGATCCATTGGCAATGTCCAGTGTGGGCTGGTGCAGCAGCATATTTAAAAGCATCTCAAGATGTTGATGACAACTTGGAAATATATGTAGAATTGATGCAAAAAGAGAAGATTAAAGAATCAAAGCCGAGGCTGGAGCTGGGAAAAGCTGGAAAAGTCTCTATTTCAGTCACATCTACTTCAGGGCATTCATGAAAGTATATTGAAATGGGGGTGGAAATTATCTACTCCCTTTGCCCTATGTGTTCAGGCTAGACTGTTCATGCCGCACACGTGCTTCAGATTTCTCCAACCTCCTAACTCACACTTTCTTTTTTTCCACAGTATAATACACATTTCTCATTTATCCCTAGAAGCTTTTTCATAGAGTCAGGTTAGTATTTTATTCTTAAATATTTATTTTATATATAAATAATTCTTGTAGAGTTCTAGAACTAAACACTGAAAAGCCTTATACATGTAACAGCTGCACAGTGCGGATGAATACCTAAAAACTTCCAATCGCTTCATAAATTATAATTTCTGAATGTGGATGGATAAAGGCAGGCTAGATTCATGCTTAACACATACATGCCAGCACACGGCAAAAATAATATAGTCCTAGTCCTATTACCTGGTTTTAAAAAATTTCCCAGATTATAATATACTATTATTTAAAAAGCCCTTAATTATCTAGACAACCTACCAGCTGTATAAATGGGGAAATCTAGGCCCAAAGTGCTGGCATGACTTTCTACCCTGTGTGGCCAGAACTGAGATTTGAACACAGGTCTCCCTTGTTCAGTGTTTTTCTAAACCTTCCTACCATCTTACCTCTGAAACGTACATTTTAAATCACTATCCATATTGAATATGAAGCACAAAATTAAAAAGAAAAAAAAAACCCAATACAAAAAATTTATAGCACTAAAAACCTGATAAACATATTTTAATTTTCTGATCCTTCAGAAGGTATTTTAGTGCCCTTACAAAGTTTCACTGACGGTTTTGTTGTTATCTATGAACAAATTACTAGAATAAAAACAAAATCAAATTAACAGAATGAAAGGTAAAGAGTGAGCTACTTCCATATTAATATAATTAGTAAGTCTCAAATGCTTCTCAGACGACTGTGTAAAATATACTTTTTTATAGGAAATATCAAGTAAACTATTCATAGCCACAGGCCTATTAGTAATGCAATTATCTTGTAAATAGGTGCATTTAATAATGGGGATTACTAAGACAATGTGAATCAACACTATTTTATGCTCATTCTTTTCATAAAGCATCAGTTGCATAGAGGAAAATAATAATTTATCAATAATTATAGTAATAACAATAAAGATATTTTCAATTCTGAGCCATTATCAATGACCTGTGTATAAACTAAAAGGCACCTAAAAAGAGGAAATGAAGTATTTATTATATAATTAACTTTGTTCGAAACACATGCTATAAAAGAACTATTCACTGGGTACAGAAGATTTCCTCTTGAATTGCCTCATGATAATCAAGAAGGACATTGTTGGGTCTACTTGAATTTCAAGTCAGGAATGTTCTTTACTGCTGAAGCAAGCATTTCTATTTCAGAAACGCTTCATGGGCCTTCAGATGGTTGGCTAAATATACTTAGCATTCGAGGATGTGTGCATTTTCCAACAATTGCATTAGACGATGCTTACATATGCACACACTAAAATGCAACTCTTAACAGAGTCTTAAAGCCTTTAAATATGATGCCTCTTTTTGCAGGATTAGGAAAAATTATAACTGAGTAGTTTTTTTTCCAAACACATGCAGATGAACAAAGGAAAACTTAATTATAAATCTTAAAAATTATCAGGGTATAAAACCTCTATTTCTTCCCATTTAAACAACTGATTCACAAATGCCACACAGATATCTGTTAATGGTATGACTTAAGTATGTCATAATGAAACACAAGTTGAAAAATGGGCATGCATTCTGTTCATTTTGAATAATCAAAAAACATTATCTGATACGGTCTAGAAATGCAATTATTAACAGGCACTTGTGACCATTTGAACAAATATTTACCAGAAAAGAATGAGAATTGAAGTAGAATTTTACTTTTGCTTTTTTTTAAGATTTTTTTTCTCTCTTCTAGTAATTCCTGCAGCACATAAACAGGAAAGGGCACCAGCTTCTTAGACTTGGACATGTTTCATGATTATTCTGAGGCATGTTGGTAGCTCTTGCTTCCTGCCCTTATATTATACAGGAGTGAAGTGATAAAATATGACAGGCTCCGTGAGATACACACTAACAAGACATGGGCTGGGATGGAAAGATTCAAGCCAGCAGCTGAAAGGACATTTTTGCCTTCAACCACTCGCTTTCTCAGCAATTTCAGGATATGGATAATTGAATGATGGCAGTGATCAGGGAGAAAAAAAAAATAGTGATGGATGCCCCCCACCCCTGCCCTTCTTTCTAGCTCTAAAGTAAGATGGGCAATTTTATGGGTTATGGTGATAAACTTTTTTTCATTTGTCATTTTTCCAAACCTCTGTGTTAGAACAAAAAACAAAACATATCAAAAAACTGAAACAGTCTCATAGAGAAATTTTTCCAAAAAAGAAGTATCTTGACGAGTTTCTAAGGAGTCAAAATGAGGTTATTTAAAAAAAAAAAAATCAACCCACTATAGGAATATAAGAACAAGGGTATAGAGATAGAAATAAGTCACATAAACACCAAAATGGTAGCTATGTTGGTAGGAAAAAGAATTAGAGGCAATAATCAGATAGAGCAAGCATCAAAATGAGAACACTCTCATTTTGAGAATGATAGGGAGAGAGAAGTTGTTCAGAGTATAAGGAGGGGATCACCTTCGCAGAGGCATTCCAAGACATGGTATGCCACAAAGAAAAATGGGAAGAAAGGTTAAAATCATATGAAAATAAAATTTGGATTGAAAGAAAAAATTGATATAAAGGGAGATAATTCAGAATTCAGTCATTCTAAATGTTTTAGAAAATATATTACATTGAATTGCTTATTTTTTTAAATTGTTATTTGTTCTTTTTAGTTATACATGATGGTAGAATCTACTTTGATATATTTAAACATTGACTATATCTAACTGTAATTAGGATTATATATTCATAATATTGTAATTTTGAGTAAGAGAAGGTTTAGGGAAGGAATTACAATGTGCTTTATACAAGAGTCTGGGAAGTAAACTGGGGAGGGGAGGGCAGGGATCTGGCTTATATAAAATGTAGGCAAAAATAAAATTGAAAAAGAGTGGAAGATCAGAAAAGATTGGGAAGATATGAATTATCTGTACCCTTACTGTAGTCAGGTTGATATTCAGGAGAGTAAGGACTGAGGTTGTACTTGTTAAAGTAGGAAAATGATACCTTCTCACGCCCAGTTCTCGGTCACAAATGATAACTTAAAAAAATAAGTGGAATAATAGAATAAAAGTAAGAGAGAATGTATTCTCTCGTTTTTTTTAATCCTTCATTGTTAGCTACTTTTGCCAAATCTTGAAAAAACAGCTACAGAAAAAAATCTTTCAGCACCTAGCAAATTACACTTATGAAATGGATACAAATGTGCAAAATTGTAATAGTGTTTGAAAAATATGTCAACATTGAATAATTAACCACCTAAAACAAACAAATGAAAACTTGCATGGAATGGTCTGCAGTGAATGTACTAATATCTAAAATATCAGAAAAGTTGCTCATTCTAAATAAGGTAGTGCAGAAAATTCAGGCTGGGATACATTCCTTGAAGACAGCAAGGTACTGACCACAAATTGAACACCATTCGAAATAGTTCAATCTTTATGTTTTGTGCTACCTCTGATGGAAACGTTTCCCCAGCAATCATAGGGTTGCATTAAAATATTCCTACTAAAATCAACCACATGGTGACCACAGAACAATGATCAAGTCCTCAAAATTAGGCAGCCCTCGAAGTTGCAACAGAAATATTGAGCAAACCTACCTTTTATAAAGGAGAATAGCAATGACAATGCAGATGATAAAGACTACTGCAAGGACAGGACCTACGACCCAGATCAAGCCTTCTTCTTCATCTGTGATGGGCTGTGGATCCAGATCCATCGACACAACAGGGTCAGAGTAGGGGCTGGTTGCATACATCTTCTGAGGAAAAACAGAGTCTGTTTTAGTTATCAAATAGGGTCTTTCTGGACTGTATTTTGCATTAGAAGGATTTCCTCCTTCCCCCAGCTCCAAATTTAGGACATAGTGGATTTTATGACAAATGGATAAAGCAACTGAAGTCAAATACAGGATGAAATCAATCAAATGAAGGAGGAAAGAGAAGGGAGAAGAAAGATGAAGGAGAAACTGACAGTCTTGCGTGATCAGTATTCTTGTCGAGTGAAATCTTACAACAAAATCACTTTTTGGTATAAATTACTTCATTGGTACTTCTTAGTGGGATCTACATACAGAATATTAAATAATTTAATGAACCATAAATACCAATGATTAACCAGTCCCAACATGTCCAGTGAACTTTTACATTGTGCCAATGTGTGAGAAGCTATGTGAAAACCGAGAGAGAGTTCTAGCCTCAAGGAGTGACAGGGTAAGTATCCCTAATTCAAAATTCTCAAATCCAAAACTTTCTGAGTAATTTCACATTTTTGGATTAGGTACTTTAGATATTTGGATAACACAGTGAAGTTGGTATAAATATCCCCAAATCCAAAAACATCTGAAATTGTCAACTCTGCCAGTCTCAAGTATATTCAATATGAAATACTCATTCTATATCAACCAAAAAGGTCACAGTTAAAAGGTACATATACAGAAAAATAAGTCAGTACTTTGTCAAGTATTTAATTATATCAGTGCTTCTAGTGCTATATGTTGTTAGGCCATATGATGGACAAATCAAGTCCACAATTTCAGGAAAGAAATCCAGTACCCAAATCATTGGTGCAAGATGTACAGAGCTGATGACAGCTTTCTTAAATAGGGAATTTTTATAACTTGAAACAGTTTATTAGTTCCTAATTAATTTTATTAGTCACTTCTTGGTATGCTTGTTTTTAACACACAATTGATAATAAATATAATTTAAAAAATCGTTACTTGGTGAAGGAATGAACTGAAAATTTGTGAACTTTCTACAACATTCCATTATGTTCTGTCTCATTTTAGCCTGATTTTAGACAAGCATTCTCTTGACTCTGTCTCTTCATATTGTCCCTTTCCTTTTCCTTCTCAGCTTCTCCAACCCGATCCCGCTGGCTGCCCTGCTTCTTATCTCTTCTTGCCTAAACATGACTATTGGTTCTATTACTTATTTCCAAATCTAATTCTCTTCATTCCGTTCTTACGCCTTTTCAGATTTGCTACAAATGACCAGGACTTTTCAAAAACTCCTGCTCTGACTTTTCTTAAATCCCTAATCTTTCCCACTGCTCAAGCCTGATTGAGTTAACTGCCCCTGTTCTATGGGCATGCATTCTTGGGCTCTGTTCTCCACCACCCTAGGATGTTCAGATCATCCCCCAGTGTTCCCTCCCAGCCTCCTCTGTTCAGATTACTTCTTCACTAGAGTTCCTAAACTCAGGAACTCTAGTAAGTCTCAGACCCTCATTTCCAATTATCTCCACATGCATGCTCAAATGAGGAATTGCATGCTTGACTTCACTTCTTCCCAGACAGAACTTTCTCCCAATTCCCCAATTTCTCTTATACTGTCATTATCTATGAATAGAGACTACTGACATTACCTATCAGTGACCCTCAGGTCCATCTGTCCTTTTTGCAGCCTCATGGACACCATCTTTCTTTAGGATCTCATTCATGCTCTCCTAACCACATCAAAAATGTCTCCCTTTTTTCTAATACTCATTACTGCTGTGAGAGTTACTGCCCTAAACCACATAAAACCTTCAAGGCAAATGGATAAAGCAATTGGTTACTACTAGATAAAACCTACATACCTTAGCATGGCCCTCAAAGGCCTTTGTTTTAAATTGTCGCAGCACATTTAACATATTCCGTCAGATTGAGCTTTTGGCTACTACTCCCCAAATGCTCTATTCTTCTTCTTTAACCCTCCACAAGTTCCACAACATTTAACTCCTAAAATCCAACTAAGGTGCCACTTAAATACTGCCCCCTTAATTGGAAGAAATCTGTCATTCCAAAAATTACATGTAAAAATAACAAGTTGATCACCAAACTCTTTTTAAAATTTGGATACACCCTTCACTTCTTCTAATGAAAATATAAATTCCCGAAAGAGAGATTTATATACTATTTGTATTCACATGCTTAAAAATGGCTAGCACAGAGCTCTGCAGTAGGTGGGATCTTAACAAATCTTTGCTAAATAAAAAGTTCCAATTCAAATGGCTGTGATTATCAAAGATATGAGTGTATATGCTCCTTTATGATCAGTAAATATATTTGATTTTTAACCTTCATCTTTTAAAAACCCCATTTCAGGCATATATTCTGCAATTTAGTATAATGAGCTCAGCAGACATATTAGGACAACACATGCCACACTGAAATCTTGATTTTACTCTATTTTTTTCACTTACTCAGGAAAGGAATTGCCTCAATTTCCAGATTTTTTTAATGCATCAAAAGATGATGAAAACTCAGTATATATTTACAACCTGCTCAGAAAGAGCTCAAATAAATGTGAGGGAAGGAGGGTAGGTGGAATAAAGATATGTGGTATAAGGATTTACACAAAGGACTTGGCAGAGAGACTATAATATTCAAGAAACATGATTCTTTATATAAATGTGTTTGTTTATGCAGTCGCCTACCCCATTTGTAGGTCACACTCAAAGTGTCTGTAGAAGCAAAACTTGTTGACTTAAAATTCTTTCCCAGAGCCTTTGAGATAATAATCTAGGTCAATCAAGATGGAACTCTAAGCAAAGGTCTTCCCAAGCACATAGATTTCCAACCCCAGTCAGGAAACACAGTCATGTTATAACAAAAATGATACCAGTCTCATGAAAAATAAAATGTGTACAGTGGGTGGCAATAATAGTTTTAACTTTATACTACTCAAAAATAGTTCTCTGGTATTTTTTTGAATATGAGGCAAAGGATTGGGGAAAAGCACCTGTCCTTACTGGGAAGAGAAATGTTTTGTCTCTGCAAATTGCCAACCCACTCTTGGAGTGGTTATGCACATTACTAACTGACAGTCTGAGAAATACGAAGCTTAAAAAATGATGACTTCACTGCACACATGATACTACTTGGATACAATTCTCATCTATAAAGTAAATGCTGGGCTGAACACGTAGGAACCATAGGGAAAACACTGTTTTTGTGGAGAGCAATATCAAGAACCAACCTAGATGCCCTTCAGCTGATGAATGGATAAAGAAAATGTGGTATGTATTCACAATGGAATATTACTCAGCCATAAAAAAGAATGAAACTATGGCATTTGCAGGTAAATGGATGCAACCAGAGAATATCACACTAAGTGAAATAAGCCAATCCCCCAAAACCAAATGATGAATGTTTTCTCTGATAAGTGGATGATGATCCATAGTGGGGGGTGGTAGGGAAGAATGAAGGAACTTTGGAATTTGCAGAGAGAAGTAAGTTAGGGGTGCCAGGGTGATGGGGATGGAAAGGACAATAGAATGAGACAGACATTATTACCCTATGTACATGTATGATTACACTACTGGTGTGAATCAGCACCATGTACATATAGCTAGAGGAATGAGAAGTTATGCTCCATTTGTGTATGCATTCTGTCATGTATAACTCATTCGAACAAATAAAAAAAGAAATATGGTGGAGAAAAGGAATAAGATAAATTTTGGGGAAAAGATCTTAATTCTGCAATTAATAAAACTGAGATGATACAGTAAGGAAAGGAGTAGACACATCAGCAATGGTGACCCACTTAAACAGGGGGAAAGGGTTGGGGAGACATCAAGAGCAGGAGTGAGAAAGTGTGCAGTCCTTTTGTTTGTATGATCAGATGAGCTTTCTCTTCTTTGTCGGGTTCTCTGATCTACCTCAATGTTCTGAAAGTGCTTTCTGAAACGTTCATAGAGCTATTTAAAGAAAATTCCTCTCAAGTACCTAAGTCTTATTTTTCTCTTTTTAAAGAGAAAGATGATTTCCAACCTCCCATTTCCCTTGATGTTCTGCCTTAAAAACTTCAACTGGAAAGAGAAAGCGTATCTGTACATTAAAATTCCAGGAAGGCCGTCACATCGTTTTTGAAATGACATTTTGCGTACAAAGGTAAACCAGGCTGCCTTTGTGTTTTGACTTTCCACGGGGGAATTCCTTCAGTCGTTTGAAGAGAGGCCCCACTGTACGCGCTAACACCTGATGTGGAGAAACCTTTGATACACTGAGGGCTTCTTACATGCAGAAATTGACTGGCTCAATGGAGTTGCCACGCCTGTCAGACTGGGGCCCTGATTAGAAAGATCCAGTCTGCAATATGTATGTTAAATGTTAATGTGAACTGCCACTTCAAAACCCACCCCCCTTCCCATCTACAGTTTCTCTCCATTTTTTTTTAATGTTCAAAGCAACTGAAGCATAAAACGACATAAGAGCAAGATGAATTACATAAAAGAAGACAACTCATTATTTAGAGTACCTTAGGAATTCTCCCTTTTATTGAATTATTTTCAAACTTTCTTGGCTTTTCACTGACAAAGTCACTTGTAAAGTGCTATAATTAAAGAAACTGGTTGTGCTTGCCTCTTCCTAGACAGATCTTCCGGGGAAGCTGACCAGAGGTACTGGGGCCTCACTGGCAGTTTTATAGGAGAATAAATGCAACCATTACCAAAGTCAATGTTTTCAAATATTTGGAAATATATTATGTGGAATTAGAATTTATTAGTTCTTACTGAAATCACAGGGGCTAATATCTGCCAGGTATTATGTCAGATGAGAAGAGTAATTTTTTTTTTTTTTTAAATACTACTCTACGTGTTGAGGGAGGAAGATTGTAAGCGATGGATATAACACTAGGACACATGTGTTACGTTGACAGGTCTGGAAATCCATGTCTTGTCATTCTCCTACTTCACATAAATGAAGCTCACCTAAACTCCCTGTCATCAGAGACAGCTTATTTGCACTGCAATCCCATTCAGTGTACTAGAAGGGCAGGCAGGTGGTTCTTATACTTCAGTTAATGACAGCTCAAGAGAAATAATTAGGATGGATGTACCTACATGGCCCCAAATAACCACCTAGTATATACTGACCCAACTGTGTAAAAGTATCCCAGCAAACAGATGTCATGATAATGAACTTACAGACTCTGCATGCTCCATCACTGCTAACACGAAGAAGACATATTCTTGACCACTTTGGAGCTGCTTGTTTGTAAATCCGCCATAATGTTTGTCATCCCCCAGGGTGAACTCAGTGGGAAGGACATCAAAGTGAGCGGCAATATATGGCTTTAATTCAACTTCTCTCCCGTAACGGATGCTTCTGCGTTTCCTAGATATCTCCTTAAGCAGCTTAAAGAAGAAATGAGAAACAGAAAAAGAACTGTAAACAACAATAACCCACATACTGATAGTTAAATGGGAGAAATTAATTCAGTACTGGGAACAACCCAAATTCAATTTGTCCACATTTCATGTAGCGATGCCAGCATCACTAAATCTCAGTTCTCTCCATACTTCAAATGCTTGTCTTCCTGTTAAATAAGATATTGGACTCCTCTTGCAAGGGCCAGGCTATAAACACAGGGCAATTAGATCTTTACTGGTAGCTCATATCATTTCCTACACTAATGAAATTCTCTCAAAGGCCAATACTGCATCATAACTTGTCTAAGGAGAAATGGCAGCTTGATTCATAAAAGCCTTGTTTTGTAGGAGATTTATTAAACAAGGAGTAACCTCAGATAAAGTCATCTAAAAGTGTAACTATTACCACATTTTTGGAGAGTTTAATTTTCAATTATGAGATCATTTATATGATGTAAATTCCCTCAAAGCAACAGAAGCAATATTTATTAACTTTTAAATTTATAATATATATGTTTGTAATATAAATAAATTCTGAATTTATACATATTAAAAGGGACATTGTTATTCACTAACTGTTCATGACTTAATTTGCCTCCTTGATTAATTTGGGTGCAATTCATCACATTTTGTCATGGAACTCATTTTTTTATAGAATCCAGTTCTCTGGGGAGTTTGTTGGGTAACAAAGACAGGGTGAATAGAAATAAATTTCAATATTATGTTGAAGAAAGCAAACACACACACACACACACATATATATACATTAAGATCCCTCTTGAGTTTCTAAAAGAAAGAATTTATTTTTAGATAACGTGTTGTTTCACATTGCCCCCTTTATTAGGAGAAAAATCACATTAATGATATGACAACTGATTTCAAAATGATATCAAAGCTATCATTAGCTTCTTCCTCTACCTCATATTTCACCAGGTTTAACAGGGAATAGGTGTGTTTCAGTCTGTAATGCTTTTTGAGACAAGCAACATTTTTTTAAAGGTATATTAGAGAGAATTTTTGTTTTTTGTTTTTTCATTATCTGTGCAGAAAACACAATATATCTGAGGACAAACTGGAAAAAGATTATGCACCTGAGGGTAAACCCTGTCCTTATCTTGATAGACAAAATTAAAGTATTTATGGAAACTTTGCAAGGTAAGTATTTATATCTCTTCATTTTATAAGTGAACAGAATATGGTTAAAAACCAAAATAGTGACAACTACTTAGTATAGAGAGATGTTGCCATAATCAAGGTCAGGATTTGGTGCTGATAAAGGCTTCAGACTTTATCTATGAAAAACACTGATTCGATCCAGTAGGAATCTGATGTTTTATAGTTTCTTCTACACTCAGACTTGCAAATGGGCTCAGCTGATTCAAAATTATACCCTCAAAATGGAGAAAACAATCTTTTCATTATATAGATAATTTGTGCCCATGTTATTTGTCAATAATATCTAATTTATAATGTTCTAAAATTTTCTGTTAAATTTGAATTTATTGATGCAATTAAGATTATGTGAAATGTGAGCTGTATGAAAAGCATAGTAAACTGGACATGATCTGTTTAGCAAATGTGAACCATCTGATGATAAATTCAGAGAAATTGATCAATTATGCACCAATTGGTTAGTAAAAAAGCAATGGCAAAAATTTAATACTATCTTTAAGTTCTGTTGTGAAATTTAGGTTTGTTTTTAATCATGATAATAGCTATCACTAAGAATTTTCTGGACACCAGGCACTGTTCTATAAGCCCAAAGATGCATTAAAGTTCATTTACTCTGTATAATAACCATCTGAGGTAGGTTACAATCATCCCCACCTATAGATGAGGAAACTGGGGCATAATAGAAAATTTCAATGAATGAAATAAAATTACTCCTAAGAGATTTTTTCCAACCTTATTTTTACTTTGTGGTTGCCCCAAATCAAGAAATCAAATGCTATGTTTAAGCTCTGATCACCTAAATCGTTTTCACTCGGTCTGTACTTAGACACATCGTTTTTGTGCAATTGCTTTCATTAACACAGATGGACGTGTTATTTCCTTTCTCTGGATTCTTTTAACATGCTAATTTAAAAAAAAATCTGTTGTCAAACATTCAACATAATATATACTTGAAAAGTCATTAGAAAGGTTATTGTCACTGTGCAGCAAATGATGGCAGCCATTGCTTTGAGGACAAATGCACTGCAGATGAGCTGAACAGCATCTTCAAGTTGGTAAATCAAAATCATTTACCATCAGTTGTTTATGTGACTGCGTCCTTTCTTCTACTTCACTGATCAAACCCTACCTTGATTTTATTCATATTTCAGATGAAGGCAGCTGTCATAATTCATCCATATCATTGTCATTCCCATAAGAACCTTTTGCTAGGGTTTATTTAGAAGATGTAGAGAAAGTGCCTCAGAATAAAATTTTTGAGTATTTTGGTGTTCTTTAGGTCCAATGCAGTCATTCATTAATGCATTGGACCTAATGGAACATCACCCTGGCCCTGTAGGTTGCTCTAAGCTCTGTAGAAAGCTTCCTGTATTATACTCTAAATGGCTCAAGTGAGCACAGATGACACCAAAGTTAGACAGTATGCTGGTTACAATCACAAAAGACAGTGATATTTTACGACAAGCCTTTGAAGTACAGTGCAACGAAAAGCTTATGATATATTAGGTGACCTGCTCTGAATTAAATATAACTAACATTTTGGGAGTCATTCTGCCCAAAATTCATTTCAACTATCAATGTCTGCTCTGCCCAGTCTGACCTTGAGAACAGGAGTTCCAGTCTATGAATTTATCATGTGAAGAACATCTTCAGACAAAGAATAAAAAGAGCTCAGAAGATAATTTTTAGAGTAACTCTGTTTAGAAAGCCTCTTTCAATTTTTTATGGGCCTCAATGTGAGGCATACATGTGGAAATCCCCTTAGGCCACCATTCTATTCGATGATATGGTTCCAACAATTTGAATTATAGGCCTTTCTGAAAAATTACTTGGTCAAATACATTTAAGAGAGGAATACCGCTTTGTCAAACTTGGCAGTACCAAGCTATAGATAAAATTACTACAATGCTTTTATTATCCATGATAGGCTGGGAAAATCCTGTTGGCAGGGATCAGAAACTGGATGAGTAAGCAGAAAGTGAGGCCATAGCCTACTTTCATTTGTTCCCCTCCACAATAGTTACAAGATGTATTGGAGGTAATTCCAGAGATATATCAAGGGCTTTAGTTCTTTTATCAGAAATAATTTTCATTTTCCAGTCAATGCATATCTTATTTCTTCCACCATTAATTCTACAATGTGGTCTCAATTATATCAGTAAGAAAAGTGGGAAACAACCCATCCTGACCCAAAAATTTTGAATTAATAAAATGTTCTCTATCAAGCTATTATACAGATTAATGCACCACAACCTACAGGATGATTAAAATGACCCTTTGTTAAGGGAACCAGCAGCGCAGACCTGTAGAATTTAATTGCAAGAAAGTTCAATGTCACATAGCTCTATACTTTAATCCATTAATGTTGCTGTGCATTTTAGAGGTTAAAAACTGGCTGTAAAAGAGATTCACTTTCTATTACTTATTATCAAATGGCTTCACTTCTAAGGCAAGCTTATTATTTAAAAGTATTTGATATCATTTGCCTTGGATCTCAATACCTTAAAAACTTAAATATATATATGTATGTATAGAGATTCACAGGATCTACAAGTTGCCTTTGCAATTCCAACTAAAATGTGATGGTGACAATCCTGGAATTCAGGAAAAAACCTTAATAAGATCGTAAATTATTTCAAAGGATTATCTGATTAGTCAGTTGCAAGTAATATCCTGTCTGGCTTTGGAATCCTTACAAAAAAGCTAACTGATCATTTTGCATCTTCAGATGAAGGATTACTCTTCCTCCACTAATACACGATAACAATTTTATTTCTTTAGTATTAATAGAAAAAATTAACTTGATAACTTATCTAAATTACTTCACAGTATTATTGAAATGATGCCTTGTTTTATACCCCCCATGACATCTAATCACTACATGACACAAAAGCATCAGCCTAACCTTGAACTAATCTCACCTTCTGAACTTGATCAAATTTAACTCAAAGTAGATGTTGATGAGTCCCCACTTCTAGAGGTGACACACATCTGCCAGAGAATGCTAACAGTCCCTTTTTGTCAAATCAAAGTCTCCTTTCTGTAGACATGTTTGAAATAAAAATCACCTTCTAGTAATACCGGTAAGTAATTTAATATTTTCCTTGCTGCATTTGTACTAATTTGACATAGAGAGAATACCTAGAAATAACAGGCTGTGCTCTAAGATGTGGCCTATGTTGTAAATAAACTCAATAAATTAAAATCTTCTATTTCCCAAAAGGGCATCTGGGTATTTGCCTTATGAACTTATTCAAAACAGCATTTCATTAAAATAACAAAGTCTTTCCTATATTTCAAATATGAATCCTAGTCATTAACTTTCAGTGGCCCTCTGGGGATGTGGCCCAATACCCAGGTTTGTAGTTTTCTCATGCAAATAAAATATGTCATAAATAACTCTTCTATTTCACATTATGTATTAACTTTTTTAATGTTCTTTTTAAAAAAGAATTATCAATTAAAATGCACCTATTTTTAGATTTTAGAAATTAAAGTCATACTACTTAATTATTGCCGTATTTTGTTTTACATTTCCTTCTTTGCTCAAGATTTTGTCATTTGTTTCATTTTCCTCTGCAGTGACATGTACTTTTGATTCTGAAAAACCTATAGAATACAGAATAAGGCAAACATTAATTAATCAGTAGAATTCTGTAAGAAACTGGTCAAGACCACATATTAGGTCAAATGAACTCTGCTGCTAAAGTACAATTTAGCATTTGTAAGGGTCTTAGCAACTGTCAAAGGAATGATGGCCCTTGAAATTCATATCAATGGTCATTAAGTCTTTGCTGACAATTTATTTCACCTTCCCCACTTCTACATTATGTTTTACAAGGGGCAAAATATTAAGGCCAACAAAGATTAGACAGGTTGTAAGCTTTATTGCAGTTTAATGTCTTTTAATTAAAGCCAAAGGATCTTTGTTGGGATCCCTAGAGTATAATATGATCAGAGTATTGAGCCACCCAACCAGCCAGATGTGCAGAAGCCAGCACCTTGATTAGATGCCGAAAGCCTCCATTGGGAAGAGAGGATATTTAAATAAGTAATGAAAAACACAGCCAACGAAGATGTAGTTACCTCATCTAATTCCATTTCATCTGGACTCTCCCATGGCTTGATAAATTTCCCACGAGATTTCTTCAAAGGCACAATTATTATGTAGTATCCTCTGCAAAGAAATGGACAGATAAAAATAAGATTAGTTCAGAGGGAAGAGAAAATAGATGTGCCCTTCAATCTTCCACAGGCCAGTGATTGAGAATGAAGGCAAATTATGGATATGGAGTGACTTGTCCATTTCTTACATCAATGATAAATAACCACCTGTTGTTCAATTTTAAAAACAACATGGATAGACATTTATGTGTGACTTCAATGATCTTGTATGGCAATATCACCATGGTTGACTACTCTTTATTAGGTATCATAAACAGAACAGGCACTTGTTGTTAGGAACCTGGTGCTGGACACATATAAGGCTAGTATATTGAAATCTACCACCACAAGCTGCTAAACAAATATTTTTTATGACATCAACTTGTAACAGGATATTTTTAAAAGGGGGTGGTATATAAAGAAAATTCCTCTTGGGTTCTACAGATATCTATTATTTTGTTTATATAAACCAAAAATACTTTTTGTTTGGATACAAAAATTAAAAATAAAACTTACTCATCTGAAAAGAAAGTAAAATGCAAAATCTCTTATCTTGCTTATCAAACTATAAAACTAAATACTGCAGAATTTTGAAGGTTTCTATGTAAAGGGCTTCAAATTAGGTCTCAACATAATGATATCTATAAGAAAAGACAAATGTAACTGAGACCTCACACTGAAAATGGTCAACTAAAATTTAAGTGTTGTATAAAGCCACCTGTTAAAAAACAGATATAGGTCAGCAGTTAAGTTACTAGAGAATATATCCTTCCCTTGCATTTATGTTTGGGGACTTGCATAACTACATATGGATTTGGAACATAGTAGATAATACCTACTAACACACTGATCACTTCCTACTTTTCAGGTATTATATTAAATGCATACACTTGTTTTGCCTTCCTATAGCACAGTCCCTTAAGTACAGTCTAGACATAAACTCTAAGGCTGTAAGAGCAGGTCACGAACAAAAAGATCCAGAAAAAGAGATAGTAAGGGGATTTAAACTTTTTCAATGATCTCTTTTTTACACTCACTCCATGCATCATAACACATTTCTGGAGAACTCCACAAAATTGTTGTAGATTTATTGGGAAAGTGAAAACACACACATACAACAGAAGACAGTCATATACCTTTGAGAAGAGAAGGTTATCACAGGGACAAAGCAAAGAGGGAAAGGGCACTACCAACCCTGAGCTGCATGGAATCGAAGAGAACAGTAGCAGCCACAGGAAAGCTTCTTTTAACTCATCCCAAATTCTCAACAAACTCAGCAAAACTTCAGCACTATTGAGCTGTTCCCATGAAGACTGTCTAGAGCTAAGCTGACCAGTATAGTAATCTCAGGCCCCTGTGGCCACCAAGCTATTCAAATGTGGCTCCCCAGAACTGAGATGCACCCTAGTTATAAAAGACACACTGGATTTTGAAGTGTTAGTAAGAAAAAAAGAGAATGTAAAATATCATTGACAGGGGCAGTGGTCATGGCTCAGTGGTAGAGCACTTGCCTGACATGTTTGAGGCACTGGATTTGATTCTCACCACCACATATAAATAAATAAAATACAGGTACATAGACAACTACAAAATATTCTTTAAAAATATCAGTGACATTTTTATAATGGTGATCATAGGTTGAAACAGTGATAATACTCTATATTGGGGTTACATAAAATGTTATTAAAATTAATTTTACCAACTTCTTTTTGCTTACTTCCTTTGCAATTATTAGAAAATTTAAAATTTCACAGGGATCTCACACAATGCTTCCTGGTAAGTGCTGCTCTAGAGTGTTCTTGTGCAGAATATGGCACTTGGAGATATATCTAGCCCAGACTTTAGGCTCCACTACTGATATGCTGGATAATCTTAGGTTGCTTGTTTAACATCCCTGAATCTCAACTGTATATTCTGAAAAATGGAAGTATACAATACCAGGCTGTGAGTGCAGGGTAACGAAATAAACAAATCTAAAGCATTGAGCACAGTGTGTGTAGCCAACAGCACCAAACTGTTATGGGCCAGCTGTTATGGGCGAGGCTGACATCACAGTGGAAGAGACACATCTGAGCTATCTTATTCACTAGGACGGATGAAATTCCATGAGATGGAGGTAAAATAACTTGTGAAACTTGTTCCCCCTAATCAAGAATTCAAGTCAAACCAGTCAATTATACCAGAAACCTTTCTCCATGGTGCTGTGAGCAACTCATGAACAGATGCACACAAGTACATCACCTAACCATTCATTTTCTTTACTACAAATAATCATGATGATCAAGGAGGGTGAGGAGGAAGAAGAGTTGTAGAGTGTGAGAGAGGCCAATATCTTTTATTTTATGATCCAGATCAAGCCTCCTCTTCATCCTGTCCTCCCACTACCTGAAGGATTTGCCAAACAAGTCCATCATGTTAAATGAGCATGGAGAAGAATGACAGAGGCTGCAACTGAGCGTACAAAATAACACTGCAGATGTACTTGATAAACACACTTGTCAAGGAACCTCTTGCTTTTCCTACCAACTGCACAAAGTCAGGAGAGCTTCTCTTCTCCTAAAGTAATGATGCTGCACATTATCAGAGAGCACCCACTGTCTGCTTTCAGAATCGTATAAATCAAAGTTAAGCTGATGAATTCTATTAATTTTTCTTCTGCTTTCATACACCGAGTTGTCATTCTTGTTCATGGGGAAAAAAAGGATGCATTCTTTCTTCAGCAACACTCCCAAACTATTCATTTCACTCGTGGCTGAGATAAGAATTGAACAGCCTCTCCCACAGCAATTAATTATCAGTGTGGTCAGAGATCCATAACCTCCTCTATCTCTACTGTTCTCTAAACCATGCGTCTAGGTCTAGGGCAGTCAAAGTAGAGCTTGCTTCAAAGCCACTCTTGCACACTGAGAAAAATGGGGTATTGGCAATTTGGAATTTCAGATTATAGAAAGTATCACCTCAGTCTAAATACACAATCTGAACCATACTCTCTGCAACTCAGACTTTGCAAACATCCATGTCTTTGCCTAACCTGCACCCTGGCTTTCCCCAAAGAGTGCTGCTTCTCTTGAAGCCTTCTCCTGTGGTAGCTGTTAATTTATCCCTCTTCCCTCTCCAGGAATCTAAGAATCAGGGTTTGGGGTTTGTTTGTTTTCTTGGCTCCTTGTGGCTTCTTAAGGTATTTTTCCTCTACACTCTTGCTAAAAAATTAAACAGTCAGCTTCTGTTTTGAAGTTCATGCAATTCATCTATATGACTCTCTTCTCGGGCTGATTTTTGCCATATATCAACTTCTCTAGCATCTCTTTTCACAGAATTTGTTTGTTTGGGTGAGGTTCAAAGTCTACCTTCCTCCAAAATTCTGCCATTGTCCTGGGTGATTTCAATCTTCATAGAGTTGGCTCATGCACCACCCTACCTCTTACATCTTTCAATTCTTCCAAAGTGTACCTCTCCCATGCAATTTATGGTAGACTCTTGACTCTCTGTGCTTGAGCTTAGGGAGTTGAATACAGCTAGAGAAACAGGGCACAGGGCAGGATGAAGCCACAAATCCATGATCAGCAAATCCCAACAGGCCCTCAACAGTGCCTGGCAAATGCACAAAGTCAGCTTCTCCCTTTACCAAGTCCTTCCATTCTCCACAATGATTTTTTCAAGTGCTCTCCACTACTCAAACTTGGATGTTCATATCTCCCCACAAAATGATGTTCTTGGCTTTTACTTACAAAGAAAATATAAGTAGTCTGACAATAATTCCCTCATCAGTCTATCAAACTATAAGCCTAATTCTACTATAATCTTTCCTTTAGGTACAGTGTAAGGGTACAGTGCATTATAGCCAACAACTATTTAAATTGACTCCCATTCTCTGACTTTCTTAGAGAGTTAACTAGGCACCATACCACTTTCTCATCTGTCTCAACTTCCTCCCCACTGGACCCTAGCCATTAGACTTCAGCCATGCACAGATATCCACCATTTAAAAACAAACCAAACTACATCCTACTGTAGTCATCTACCTGTCTCTCCTAGTCCTTACAGCCACAATTCTGCAAGTAGCTGCATGTTCTCCAGGCTCTCCATTTCCTTCTCTTCCACTCACATCTTAATGGACCTTGCTATCTTCCTGCCTCAGCACTGCCACCAACAGGGAACTCAAGGACCTCAATGTGTGACATAGGAAGGAGAGTTTTGATCCTCTTCTTAAATCATCTCTTAGCAGAATCTTACCATTTTGGTAAGATCTTCCATGAAACATTCTCACCTCTTTCTTTGTTATGTAACTATTTTCTACATTATCTTTTCCTATATTAATTCTACTTCCTTAATAGTCTATTATGTGCTATCCAGCTATTAAATGATGAAGTCCCTCCATGATCTGGCCAAAGAGTTCTCTTCATGCTGTTTTTGCCCTAGGAGAACTCAATCCAATTCATTGCATAGGTTATCAGCTATATGCAAATGTTTAACAGATTCATATCTTCAGTTCAGAGTTCTCCTGTGAATTCCAAAGATTTATCAAAATTCAAATTTATGTTTTCATTTCTATGTGCAAAGTACCTCAACTCACTGTGATTAAAATGAAATGAACAATATACCTTTCAAAATAAATCTTTCTCTAATATTAAACCATATCTTTTATAGCACACATGTCAATAACCTAGGTGTTTTACTGAAAATATGCTTTTATTCTCTTCCTCTCTCATACCCAATCTATCATCAAGTACTCTTACTTCAAAACTCTAGAGCATTCACCTGTTTCCATGTCTACTGCTATCTTTTTTGTCTCATTCCATTTTCTCATGGCTATACAATAGTCTGACTTTCTCCATTCACTTTAGTTTTTCTAGTCTAGTCTCCGAAATTTTCATTTCACAATACCATATTGATTGTGCCATTTCTACTTTTTAAGGCATTTCAATGAAATCTCATTTCTCTAAGGATAAAGACCACAAGGAATTATAAGTCCCTGTAGGCTCTTACCTGAATCCATCTCTCCACACAGCTGTA